CTGGGCTTGTCAAGAGTGTACAGGAGTAGCCAGAGCACAGACCTATCCTTTATGGGATAGGGCTGAACCTTGCCTGCTTGGCTGCTCCTGCCTCTCTGGGCTTCCACTATGACATGTGAGGAGCAGGTAGTCTGACAGACCATAAATAGGATTGGTGCCTTCAGGCATTGGGGGGTAAGCCCTGCTCCTTAGATGGTCACCAGACCTGAAGGCACTCAAAAACAAGCCTGTGCAGGCTGGGAGTATAGCTTATTATTGAGAGCACTTCCCTAGCATGTGGGAGACCCTGGGATCAATCCCTAAGGCCAGGCCAGTTCCCTTTGATTGTACATCATGCTTCCTGACCAGGTTTTTCTAGGATCCAGCTTGGTTACAGGGTGAATTGAGGGCCTGCAGCAAGTAATGGTGAAGAGATACCAAGGAGGTGGGGCTGGTGGACAAAGTCACTGCTTTCAGGAGCTCTGAAATGCTGAAACTGGGCACTTGCACTGAAGCCTTAGATGCTGGAGCAGGCAGAAACATACCCTCTAACACCAAGCTGGGTCTAGCCTTGTCCTTGCTCTCTGAGGAATTCACCTTCAGAGTAAACTGTAGTTCAGAGTCTGCTCCTGCCCATCTTCTGTGTTGTAAGTGGAGCCCCCCCCCACTTCACTCCATTCTGGCTCTGCAAGGAAAAGGAAGCAGTGTTGCCAACTTACTTCAGGTTGGATACTTGGGTGTTCCTGTTGGAATAAGTAGCAGAGCAGATTTCAGCTGCAGGCTGGGTTTTTGAGTTTTAGCAGCACAAGGGACTGTTTTCCCTGTTGAAGCTGCCCTGGGCTCCTGCTGACTCCAGCTCTCTGCTAGCCTCCTGCACAGATTGACCATCCTCATTACAATCCTGAAATAAGATTAGATGAGGAATCTGAAGTTCAGAGAAGTAAACTAAGTTGATCATGAAGGGAAGAGCAAGGATTTATTTTTATGTTTATATTTTTACCATGCTGGGGATGAATCCCAGAGCCTTACCATACTAGGCAAGCACTCTACCACTGAGCCACACTTCCAGCCCTAGAGCCAGCATTTAAATCCAGGTCTGCCTACCTCAGAGCTTTGGTGCTTTCTGCTTTTTACTTTGAAGAGACTCAAGGGCTACCAGCACCTTTACTGGCTATATTATAAGAACAGCAGCTTCAGCTCTGTTTTCCATAAAGTAATATCAACTAAATTTAAATGAAAAGGAGTGCCTATCTTTGTGCTCTTGCTGCTTTTCTTTTTTGATAGAAGATTCAAGAAACTTGGTATGTCTGACAAGTGTTGCTCCTTTCACAGTAGGAGAGGTTATACCAAGAGTGAATGTGAAGGAGGGCAATGCTTAATTCAGCCCAGTTGGCTTCAGCTCTAATTGGAATGAAGTTGCTGGGGCAGTACCCTTCCTGGTCTCACAAAGGTGACATCTGGTTGTTCTTAGTCAAGAACACTCCCTCTCCATTAAAAATAAAGCAGAATTTTAAGTGTGGTAGGTAAGAACCCCAGTCCTGAGACCCTGAAAATGGTGTTGCTAAGTATAAGCCCAGAGCCAGGTATATAAGGGAAGAGCAAGGGCCAAGGCTGATGACCTCCTCCTTCTTATACAGCCTCTGCTTGTGAGAGTGATCTGCGCTGTGACCATTAGGCCTCCACCCTCCCCTCAGCAGTGCTTCAGACCTCTGGCTTCCTTTGCCCGAGCCTTCATTCAGTTAGACACACAGCTTCTTGCATATGTCTACCTGTGTTGGTAGTAGTGGTGTGTGTGGTGCTGCTGCAGTTTGAGAACAAGAAACAGGACATCTCACCGGTTCTGCATCTGTGGGGATGACTTCTAAAACTAGTGTACCTCAGGTAGAGATGGCCTGTTTGTTGACTTTCAAGTACATTTGTGGGGATTCTGGATTCAACCTGTGGTTCTCTGGATTTGGGGCCTGGAGACTGACTGACCAACCACTGTTCTTCATAGCAGCTGTTCAGAACCAAAGACAGACTGGTTTTCTCCAGTGAGAGCTTGCTTAATACCATCTAGGTGAGAGGTGATATACCCTGGGGAGTCCCTCCTAGGAACTTTCCTCAAAGGGGCCTGGATTACCTGTGCCTGGGTGAAAGGGTGGAAGACAGTGCTAAGGGAACTCAGTGCATCTTGTCCAAGCTGCGTCTGGCCTTGTCCATTGGCAGTGATAGAAAATTCCTGGGTCATCTAGTAGAAGTATTCTGGGCAGCAGGAGGATTCATAGGACTGGAATAGGATCTGATCTTACTGCTTTCCTGGGATCTTCTTCCCCCATCAAGCCCAAGTGAGCCATTACCTACAGGTTAGAGGGGCCCTGACAGGTCCAGAGCCCCTCCACCCAGCCCCACCTCAGGGAAAAGCTGCAGCTAAGATTCTCATAGGCACATCAAAGCATGACTCATATTCGCCCTCTTCTCTTTCCTGGTGTTGGAGTACAGCAGAGACCCCAGCCTCTCCTCAGGATAGTGACTTCGCCCGCCTGAGGCACCACATGAAAGTTAGGAGTTGTTTTGCAATATGCTTTGATGGCCATGGCTGTTTTCACCCATGACTGCATGCTGAGCAGTCAGATTCAGAGGAGGCTAGCAGGAGGCTCCTGTGCTTGATTTGGAAATGGGACTTTCACCCTGTGATTTAGAGGCTTCCCAGATGTCTGTCCCCTGGGGTGTCCCTCAGGGACTGGAGCATTGAATGGGAGATTAAAGAGCAATGTTCTCTACAGGGAACACTTCTTAGGGGACAGGCTCTTGAAAGTGAATAATGGAAAATAGATAATGGGCACTGTCTCTCCTTCCCACCTTTCCCTGCTTGGGACCTTTTGTGTGCTGAGAGGAAGCCTTTGACAGGGGTCAGGTATTCCTGGACCTGGTGATCATATACCCAGCAAACTGCTGAGGAACAGGCCAGTCATTTCTCCCCTGCTAAGAGTTCTTCCTCAAGCCTGGCCTGTACTGACTGACTCTCTTTCCCTCCCACCCACTCCTTGCTCTGTATTTGATGTCCATGTCCTCAGAGGCCACAGGCCCAGATGACCTCAGCCTTATCCCCCAGCCATTTTCAGGTCCAGCCTGTTTGGAAATAGGACCTGTTGAAGGGCTTTAGCCCCTGCTCCACTGCCAGTTCTGTTCACTCGACCTCCATCTTTAGGCCCCTTGCAGGTAAAGAGGCTGGACCTCAGCTTTCCTTGAAAATAAGATCTGCTGCTACTGCTTCTGCTTGCTTGCTCCTCACCTCCAGCACAGGGTGTCCTGATTTTTAAAAAGGCCCCTGGGTCTTAAGCAACCGGGGTGCTTTTGAGAGTGAAAGGAGGCATTGCTAATAAGTATGCTGAGTGGTCAAGGGCAGGGCTTACCCTGATCTGATGACAGGAAAGAGTCTTACTGAGTGTAGCAAATGCTGGGGATTTTTAGGAGCTTGCTCTTTCTATGCCTCAGGAATGAATGAATTTGCCTTCTGTGACTCTTTCTTGCCTGGGGCCCAGACTCTGGACAGTGGTAGGTCCCCACACATGGCCAGAGCAAAACATGGCACTCTGTCTCTTCTTTCTAGTTTTCCAAGTCCTCTCTCAGGGGTGAAGGTTGTCCACACTGCTTTCAGTCAGGTTTTCCTCAATTAGTGCAACATGTCTCTGGAGAGAAGATGCCCCCACCATTGGCCCAAGGCCACTGAAGTGAGGTGGAAGTGGGAAGGACTGGGGAGTCCCCAGGCTTGGAACTTTCAGGGTTAAATCCTGGCCCAGCAGGGACTGCTCCCAGCTCTGTTAGTGTGAATAACAATAGCAATGGGGAGACTAAGCTGAAAAGCCCAGGCCTGCTGGGTGGGGAGGGGTCAAGGGGTGCCTGGGGGTGGGGGAAGCATTGTCTGGCACCTCACTTGGCAGCCTCTGTGCTTTGGGTTGGAGAGTAAATAGGAAGTGAACAGCAGTAGGCTCTGACCACCAGCCCCCAGCCCCCTGCAGTTCTGACCACCAGCCCCCAACCCCCTGCAGTTCTGCATTGCCTCATTTGTACAAGCTGCCCCTGGCCTTTTTTACTCTGAACTGGGGCTCAGGTTGCCCCAAGTTCAGAGTAAAATGTCCAGGAGTGTTTTGCCAAGCTAAGCTAAGTTATGGGATCTTCCCTGGTTGTGGGCATCTCTCAGGAGCCCTGAGATTTCACCTCCCCCCTCCTGCCTGCTATCTGGCAGATTGCCTACCAAGAGGGAGAACCAAGGGACAGGGCAAGACTATAGGGCAGCCCCACTTTGTCTCCTGTGTTAATTCTTCTCCTCAAGGAGTGTGCTGATCCTAGCGTTGATGATACCCTTCCTCTGTCAGTGGCACTCTTTGGGCTGCCCTTCTCTGCAATCTGAACTGAAATGGTTCTGGCTTCTAGGACTGGCTGAGACCTCCCTAGTCATGGGCTCCTCAAAGTTAGGCCTCACCCTTCTTAAGGCTTTTCTAGCAAGATCCAATTATGGTATTCCTGGTTTATGACAGAATCCTCAGGGCCTGGACTTGGCCTCCTCTACATTATAGCCCAGCAGGAAGAATCCCTCAGTATTTGAGTTGGAGGAGGGGCAGGTAATGCTTTGGTAATAATTTGAAGGAATAGATGGGCTCCTACCACCTGACCCCCTATCCTGCAGTGTGTAATTAGTGCGAGGAGAGCAAATAGAGAGGTCGACTTTTTGCTTCTGTTTCATCCTGTCCCCTGGCTCTGGGGTCTTGGTGTTCCTTGGGCTCTTCCGGGCCTTAGTTCATAGGGAACCTAAACTGAAAGTATAATGGGAAAAACCAGTCCTTGCACAGATATTGTTTGCTTTTTCCCACTGGATCTTTGTACACTGGAAGTGGGGAGCAGGTTCTAGGAAAATCCAGGTTGGAGACAGAGTAGGGGTGGGACAGATTACCACAGGTGAATCTGGATGGGCTGCAGTGGGAGAGAAAGCAGGGCAGGCCAGGGCAGGCTCCTCTCATTGCCTGCCTTATGCCCTGCAGGTTGGAGGGACTCCATGACACACACTCGAAGGAAGTCCCTTCCTGTGCTGAGTTCAGGCCCCACTGGACACCAGGAGCCCCTGCAGATGGAAGACAACAGTATGGAACAAGGGGCTGAGGGTGCAGAGCCAGGCATGCCTGAGAGTCCTGGGCACCTCACAGGACGCCGCAAGAACTACCCACTGCGTAAGCGCTCATTGGTTCCTGAGAAGCCCAAGGCCTGCAAAGTGCTGCTGACTCGCCTGGAAAATGTGGCTGGTCCACGAAGTGCAGATGAGGCTGATGATCTGCCCCCTGACTTGCCCAAGGCCCCCAGTCCTGCCCCATCCAGTGAAGACCCTGGTCTTGCCCAACCCCGCAAGAGACGTCTGGCCTCCCTCAATGCAGAGGCCCTCAATAACCTACTGTTGGAGCGAGAAGACACCAGCAGCCTGGCGGGCACCCGCCGCAGTCGAGGGGGAGACCCCCACCGTAGCCGGGACCGTGACCGGGCCACTGGGGGCTGGTCCTCCTCCAAGAAGAGGCCTAGGCTAGGAGACCTAGGAGAGGGAAGTCCAGACTTATCCCCAGAGCCAGCACCAGATGAAAGTACTCGCAGAGATGGAGATCCAGCTCCCAAGAGACTGGCTAGCCTGAATGCAGCCGCTTTCCTAAAGTTGAGCCAGGAGCGGGAGCTACCCCTTCGACCTCCTCGTGCCCATGCAGAAGCAGATGGGCGTTCCACTGAGCCCCTGGCACCCAAGGTCCTACGGCCAAAATGGGCCAAGGTCAATGGCAAGAACTATCCCAAGCCCCGGCAGGGGCCCAGCTCAGGGGATCCTGCAGGCCCACCAGGCTGGCAGGGACGCCCTGATGAGCCATGGCCATCTGCCACTCCTCGTGGGCCGTCTGCACAGCCTCCTTATCAGCCCCTTAGCAAGGCTCTGGAGAGCCCCTTGGGGCTGCGCTCCCACCTGCCTCTGCTGATGGGTGGTCAGGCTGCCCTGAAGCCGGAACCTGGGCGCCCAGGCGAGGAATCACCTGCCCCCAAGCAGGAACTGCATCAGCCCTCTTTCCCTGCACCTCAGCTGTCACCCCTGCCAATGCCTGGCAACCCCGCTGACTATAATGGCCTGTGTGGAGGACCTGAGCTCACTGCACTAGGCAGCTTCTACCTGTACTGTGGCCAGGATGGACTGCAGTGTGGGAGCTACTCTGCCTGCCCCATGCTCCCTGAAGGCAAGCTCTCTCCAGTGGCTTCCCCTAGTGAGGGGCTTCTCTTGGCCCCTAGCTCAATGCCCTCAGGCACCCCTTTCCAGCACCCTCCCTGGAGCTCATCTCGATACTGCTCCAGCGAGGACACTGGAGTGAATGGCTACAGCGTTTGTGGAGTGTTGCCCCTGTCTCTTACCCACATTGGCACTACCTGTGGTGGCTGCCCCTACAAAATGCCTTTTGCAGCAGGTAAGCCCTTTGGGAGGCGGGATATTCTGGGCAATCTCTAGGATAGCCATCCCAGGAGGCTGAACTGTGGTTCCAGGCAGGGGCTTCTTTGGATCTAATTACTACCTAGAAGGCAGAAAGCTTTGAAAAAGGAGGACTCACCTAGTCTGCCCCAAGCCTAGGAGCATTCCCATGAAAAGAACCCCATATTTAGCTCTTGTGGCCTACTCTGTCCAGGCTGTTAATGGAGGTATCTTGGCCTGACAGCATTACATTGGTGGAGCGTATAGAAGGACCTGTTCTCCTTCCTTTTTGGGATTTCTACTCTTAGACCCTTAGGTATTAAAATTAGGGTTTACCTATTCCCAGGTCTTTTCCCCACACCTCTCCTTAAGGAAAGTTAGAATTATTTTCTTGGAGTTAAGACCATCTGTACACTGGCCAAGTCCAGCAATCATGGTAAAGTTAGTGGGCTCCAGGTTCGGGAGGAATTGGTGCTAGCTATGGTAAGACAGCTTTGTCCTGGCCATACAGACCTTGAAAGAGAAGAGGTGCCCAGACATGGCATCACCTTGCTAGATGTGGATGGGATAGGCACATCCCAAGAATAGACTAGCAGAGTTTCCCTGGCATGGTTATAGTGTTATCTGGGCCAAAATTTTGGTGTCTGCCTTTCTAGCAAGACCCAAGTGCCTTAGAAGTTCATGCCCCAGCTAATGAGACGCCCCAGGCTAGTGGGGGGTATTATCATCTGCCTCCAGGCTGCCTCTTCACTTCCTGGGTGGAACTGAAGTGACCTAGAGCCATCCTGATCAGCCAGGCTGCCCAGCTGGTAGGGAGGTGAGGGCTGGACCTTCTTAGAGCTCTCCTCTCCCCCCACGCCCCTTCTTGCAGGGGTCTATAAAACAACTTTATAGACCACTTGGCTCTGGCCAGACTGGTTATGTCAGGTTCTAGCATGAATTGGAGTGCTAAGAAATGAAAGAAGCCTGCTTGGGCTTTTTTATCTCTTTCATGCCATTCCTCAAGTCTAGACCCTTACCCTTCACCCTAATAACAAGACCTCCAGTAAACATACACACACTGCCATTCTAAATGTTTTACATATAGGAATTCTCATGACATATAATTGGGCAGAGATTCTGGAGCCAGACTGCCCAGAGTTAAATGTTCTCCTCCACATTCTTTTCCGTGACCATGGGATAAGTCAGTAGTTACTCTGTTTCCTTAAATGTAAAGTGGGAGTAATAGTACCTATTATGGGATTGTTGCAATGCTAATACATTGATAAGAAAAACAGAAAATGCTTTATGATATTTATAACTACTGCTAACATTGTACTGAGGGGCAGAGTGACTTGCTTGAGGTCACATGACTGGTTAAGTGGCAGGTGTGGGACTCATATCCCAGCCTGACTGACTCCAGAATTGCTGCTCTTGAGCACTGTGGAGCCCTAGAGAATCTCAAGCCAGAGCCAATGAAGCCATTTCTGCTCCTTCTCCTTCCAGCTTAAGAGGAAATGGGAATGTCTGCTGGCCATTCTATAAGGTCAAGAAACCCCCTTTTCCTTTGGGCTGTCACTCTGATAAGCACCCTATAAAGAGTTCAATCCCCACCTGCCACCTCAGTGGTCTTTGGGTGCACACTTAGGAACTAAGACAGGAGCTCCAAAGCAGATAAGGGGTTACAGCTTGCTATTACCTGCCCTAATCCACTCTCTCCTTCTTCTAGAAGGCTGCAGGTCCCTGGGCCAGCTGGAATTTCCTCTCCCAGAAGCTGGCCACCCAGCCTCACCTGCCCACCCGCTTCTAGGATGCCCCGTGCCCAGTGTGCCACCTGCAGCAGAGCCTGTTCCCCATCTTCAGACACCCACATCGGAACCTCAAACAGTGGCCCGTGCGTGCCCTCAAAGCGCCAAGCCTCCTAGTGGTTCCAAGTCAGGTCTGCGCACAGGTTCTGGTTGCAGGCACACTGTGAGGAGCAAGGCTGCCCGAAGGCCCAGCCACCCCAAGCAGCCTCGTGCCCAGCGCCCACGCCCTCGCCGCCGCCGTCGCCGCCGCACTAATGGCTGGGTGCCTGTTGGGGCTGCCTGTGAGAAAGCTGTGTATGTCTTGGTGAGTGCCAACTGTTAGCTGATGGGGTAAGAGAGGCTGATGGGATACAAGACCTGCAGTGAGATGGTCTAGCAATTCTGACAGGTGACGAGGGGCTCTAATTCACTTACACCTCAGGAACCAATTGTGCTGCTCTGCCCATTTCCCCAGCCTCTACCAATCCTGCACACAAGCATTGGGGAGGTTGGGAGATGCAGTCTGGCATAGCAGTGGTTGGTACAGCCATCTGGGTATCTTTACGTCTTTTCCCTGCTTGCTCTGTCCCTTCTGTCCTGGACTGTAAGATGGAAGGTTTTCTGGAGACTTTTGGGATAAGTATGTAAAGGAGAAGTTTGGATGGTCAAGGGAAATTAGTGATACAAGAACATTTGAGATAGTGAAAAGAATGTCAACCAAAATGTATTGGGCAATTGTTAAATTTGGTGCCAGGATTGAGCTAAGTATTTTGTATGTGTTATTCCTTTTAATCCTTACCACTATCCTATGTGGCATATACTTCGTGGACCTCTAATTATCTCCATTTTATAGATGAGGAAATGTAGTCTTAGTAATAGATTAAACAATCTAGTACCACCACTTAAAATGATGGTTTAAGGATTTACATTCATATTGTGCCATGCTGGGGGTCTTGAGAGAGACCTAGCTGTGGGAGACTCTGAACAGCCTCAGAGGCTTCAGTCTACTTTCCCACCCCTGTTCTGTTGTTTCTGCCCCTCTCTAGGCATGGGAATTCCCCATCCTCATTCTGTCCCTGAAAACCAACTCAGAAGCACTCTATGCAAACACAATTTGCCTATCCTAAGGAAATTGTAGAGAGGATGTAATTCTCTTCCTTCTTCCATCCTTACTCTCAAGTGTTGCCCTTTTGAAAGCCTGTTTGTGTCATTGGTTTTTTGCCTAGGATGAGCCGGAACCAGCCATCCGAAAGAGCTATCAGGCGGTAGAACGACATGGAGAGACAATCCGGGTCCGGGATACTGTCCTCCTCAAGTCAGGCCCAAGAAAGACGTCTACACCATATGTGGCCAAGATCTCTGCCCTCTGGGAGAACCCAGAGTCAGGTACCCCTCCCTCAGGCTAGGGACCCAAGGGGCAGCTGCCCTCACCAGCACTGTAGGCACCCAGTCAATCCTTGCCTAGAGTTTGGCCTGCCAGAAATCTCCCCCATTCCTGGCATAGAGTCTGACTATCATTCAGCTGGGGTCTGTCTGCTGCCCAGGCTACAGCAACCTTGTGACTTGGGTTGGATCAGTGTGTTAAATTGGCCAGCAACCAGAGCCTGGGCACCTGTCTCCCTGCCTCACCTGTCAGTGCCTTCTCTCCCTTCTCCCTCCATACCCAACAGCATTCCAGACCACTGAATGCTTGGCCTGGGGGACACTGGTGGCTGGAGCCTGAAGGATTTGGACCAGGCATTAAGACTGGATAAAACCCTAGGGTAGGCAGCAGTCTTCTGCCTATCTATGTAATCAGAATTACCAACTCCAGCCATGACCTCTTCTGCTGTTCCCTCAGGAGAACTGATGATGAGCCTCCTGTGGTATTACAGACCTGAGCACTTACAAGGAGGTCGCAGCCCTAGCATGCACGAGGTGAGCTGACTGACAGGGGTGTGGGGATGGTGAGGTGGCAGAGTGAGGGGTTGTCATACCATTGAGACATAGTTTGGGAAGGCCGGCTGTGAGCAACCAAGTGTCAGCTTACTACCTTGGACTCTATAGAGAATCTGGGGAAGACCTGGGTTTTTAGCTTGTTCCCAACACTGTTGTAATTCATGTTTCAGGGGAATAACAGAAAGGGAGTCTTCAAGGAAAGGGGGTGCCAAAATGGGAACAGGGAAATGGGTCCTGGCAACAGGAAAGGTGAGGTGAAGCTGCACAGCATCCCTAGTATCACCTGCATTATGAGAGATAGGAGGCAAGACTCTTTCCACCACCGCCTTGGTCTCCAGAAAACCTCTATGGAGAGAGATGATTTGAAGCTGGGGATTTGTATAGGCTCACCTTTATTTCCTTTCCCTTTGTAGGGTACTTAACTACTAAGCCACATCTGCGGCTCTTTTTATTTCTTTATTTTGAGATAGAGTCTTGCTAAGTTGCTTTAGGGACTCACTAAGTTGTTGAGGCTGGCCTTGAACTTCAGTCCTCCTTGCAGAATTTTTCATCAAACTGAAAAGATAGGGACCAATTTCACTTTCCTCCTCTGGGCATGGGATGGATGGTCAGGGATCAATATGTCAATGACAGGGACTGTCAGGACTTCTGAGTAGGATAAAACTTAGAAGGAATACAGGAGGAATGCCTAGGAGTGGTAGGTAAGGTATACTTAGACTGAATTTTCAGGGAAGCCCCCTGCCTTACTGCAGTCCATTTAGGTCAACAGTCTCAACAGAGGGATAATGCCTGCCTTGATCCTGAAGTTAGGTGCTTTCTTTCTTTCTTTTCTTCTTTTTTTTTTTTTAATTTTAGTTGTAGGTGTACACAATAACCTTTATTTTATTTTTATGTGGTGCTGAGGATCAAACCCAGAGCCTCACATGTGCTAGGCGAGCACTTTACCACTGAACCACAATCCCAGCCCCTGGAGTTAGATGCTTTCCAACCTTGATAACCAATCTCCCCTTGTCTCCCCTTGAGCCTTTGCAGAATGAAGTTTTTGCATCACGACATCAGGACCAGAACAGTGTAGCCTGCATTGAGGAGAAATGCTATGTGCTGACCTTTGCTGAGTACTGCAGGTGGGTGGTACCCTGTACTCTCTGGTTGGCCTCTCCCTTCAGACTTCCCAGGGCTATTTGGGTGGCTGGATGGAGTCCCCAAGGAGATTGCATTCTTTTCAGAGCCCAATTTCACTTACTGGGCCTAATCTCCCAGAACTTTCTTCCTTACAACCTGCCTCCACCATCTGATTTTTTTAGAAGATATAAAAGTTCTTGCCCCATTGAGGTACAGTGATTAGAGCAGAGGTGTGGGGTGTCAGCACTGCTGTACAGTTGACAGGAGATTGGGAGGCCCTGATAGGTGTGGCTCCCCAGCAGTAAAGAAGATGAACCAGCAGTGGCAAAGTGAGCACAGTTCTCAGGATAGGGGTGGAGGCAGCACCACCCCTTGGCAGGCAGGAAGAGCCTGTCCTGGCTCTCTCTGGACAGGGTGGGGAAGGAATTGGTCTTCTGTGAAAGTGGCTGTGGTAAAGATAGCAAATGGTCTATAACTGCAGATTCTGTGCCATGGCCAAGCGACGAGGCGAGGGTCTCCCCAGCCGAAAGACAGCACTGGTGCCCCCGTCTGCAGACTACTCCACCCCACCACACCGCACAGTGCCGGAGGACACGGACCCTGAGCTGGTGTTCCTTTGCCGCCATGTCTATGACTTCCGCCATGGCCGCATCCTCAAGAACCCCCAGTAGCCTCCTTGTGCTCATACTGGGGCTGCCCATGAGCAAGTGGGGCTCAGGGCAGGGAGCACTGCTTGAAGCACAGCACTTGGTTAAGGGGACACAGGGGCCTCTGATTCTCTTTGGTGGGGGGAGGGCAGGGGCCCCTCTGGGTTCTGGGCCCCATGGGAGGGAAGGGAATGCCAGGGTATAAGAAAAGCATCAGAGCCCTCATCAAGCCCTCATCTTGGCCCAGGTACCTGTCTGTGGTCCCTTGGGTGAAGACTCACAAAGAAGCAGTCTTCCCTGAGGCTGGGCGAAACCTGAGGGACCCAGGCCAAGTAGGGGTTAGGGCAAGGAGAAGGTGTAAGATCCTTTGGGAACCAGGCCCAGCAGGCCCTTCTGTAGCCTCCCCTGGGCCCTCCAAGGGGGAGCAGGAGCCAGCTTTACCTCACCCACTGTGACCCGCTTCTTCCCCATCCGCCTGGGACCAGGCTCTAGATTCTAGCACAGCTCTGAGTTTGTTCTTTTGAGACATAAAGAGCCAGAGTCTGGCTTCCAGAGCATTGACTTCCTCTTCCTAGACTCGGGGCCTTTCCCTGGCTTTCCTCCTTTGCCCCTGCAGTAGCCACTGGTGCTGGGACAAGCTGACCCAGCCCTTGCATTCACGGGTGTGGTCCACTTGTGGGAGTCAGCCTCCTGTCCCCCTCCCTTTGAGGCCACCCAGTGGGTCTGGATTCCCAGAAAGTTAACTAATCAATGTGGGGCTTGTCATGTCTGGGAGGGTGGATGGGTGCTGGGAGAGGGTGGGGGGCAGGGGGCAAGGAAAATTGCTACCTGATTTATTGAAGATTTTTCCTCTTGCCTTACACTTGGAGGTTCTGGGAAACCTCTTGCAGAACTTCACACATGACTCTTCAAGCCACACCCACCTGAAATCAAACCAAAGGAGTGCTGTGGCTCCCCTCGCCCTGCCACCCCTTTACCCTAGTCTTTTTGTAGATTGCACTAATTTACATCCCAGCGAGAATCAACACTGTATCAGTCCACAGACCTGCTGAGTTGCAGCCACTTACCTAGGAGCTAAGAACTTGCATTTTCAGTTTGTTCCTATTGCCCAGAGGCCCTGTTCTCACTCATGCTGCTCCCTAGAGTAGATTGATTAGGAGGCTCAGCTCCCTGTGGTCCTTGTCTGGACTAGGCCAGACCCTGACAACTGGGCTCTCTTGAGGGGGCTGGAGACCCAGTTACTTACTATTTGTACCAAAGAGGAGCACGGTGAGGAGAGGGAATGAGGTGCAGTATGGCGTGGGCCTGGTGCTGGCAACCTGCTGGCTGAGCACTTCCATGAGGGCAAGGCAGATGACCGTGGGTCCTCTCTCAGGAAGTGGCAGACACAGGCCCAGCAAGCCTAGGAGGTAGCAATGGGTGAGGACAAATGTGACACGTGCTGCAGAGCGAGGTGGAAGTGCATTCTGAGGGCACCCTTGGCAACCCCTGTGGGCCCTGTCCTGATCTTAGAAGACAGGTCCTCCTGATTGGTCATTGGGCTGGGTGTGGCCTGGAGGCTTCAGAGGTGAATTTTTGCTTGGGAAGCTGATCCCAAACCTGAAGGGAACGGACTTGGGTCTCCTTGTATTGAATAAGCTGTTTGTAGGAAGGTGGGATAATAAAAGAGTTTGCAGAGTGGCAGTGGGGGGTCCTAGAGAGCCAGCCTTGGAGTCTGCCCATTCCCAGGGTGCTGCCAAGGAGCCTAGCCTCACCTATAGGAGAGGAGATCAGGGCCCCTCCTCTCAGGAGGCAGGGTCTGCTGCCCAGAACTTAAATGCTTTTGAAATCTCTTAGATGTGGAAATATTTTTTCGAACCTGAAAATGCAGCTGGTAGAATTTCAATGGAAACATAATCCATGTAAAATATATTTTAGTTGATATTTTGTAAAATGCACTTTTTGTGTGTGTCGATCCTGGTTTCCCAGATCTGTATTTCAGTGTTTACAAGGGAGTGGGGTAACCTTTCCTCACCTCCCTTTTGACAGAGATTAGAAGTACTTCTTTAAGAAAATAAATAAATAAATTTGAGAAATTGTATTGATTTAGAAAAGGATCATCGCCTGTGTGTCCTGTCATTTTTTGGTGGGTAAATATGGAAGGACTCGCCATTCATATTTTGGAGTCCCACTTAATTACCCTTTACAGCATGGATGCTCACTGAGGCCAGTAAGCAACAAGGGCAGGAAAGTAGGGGGAAGGGAGACTGTGGCAAGGAGACAGGAATAGGAACTTTAAGTTGACTTTTTTAAAAATATATTTGTAGTTGTAGATGGACATGATACCTTTGTTTTATTTATTTTATGTGGTGCTGAGGATCGAACCAGTGCCTTACACATGCTAGGCAAGCGCTCTGCCACTGAGCTACAACCCTAGTCCCATGAAGTTGACTTCCTGACTTGTGGTCTGTGTGAAATCCTTGGGTTACCAACCTTCACCTGGTCAGTGCCATGGGAGCTGGTCCCTAAGTATGTTTGGTGAAAACACTCCATTCATCACCTTGGGTGACTGACTGGCAGAAACTGACCTAGGCTCAGTCTCTTAACAGCAGGCACTACTAGCTTGCTGGGGAATAAAGGCCACATTATGGGCTCAAGGGTTCGTGACTTGCTGGACCCCTGGTTCAGCCCATTCATAGTCCTGAAGCCTTAGTGTTGGCTTAAGGTGAGGCAGCTAGTTGTAATGCTGTGGAGATTGCTGGTTAGCAGAGGCTGCCCAAACCTCGAGCTCTCTTTCCTTAGAGGTTACTAGTGGCATGGATACCACTATGGACTGGCTACAGCACTACATCAGTATATTACCCACCAGAGTCCCTTGAGATGGGTGTTAACCTATCCTCATTTTACAGGTAGGAAACTGGTGTAGAGATAAGTACCTTGCCCAAGGACTTCCCCCCAGAGTAAATAAGACTACCTCAAGGACTGCTAACGCAGAAAACTGCCTTCTAACAGGGAAGTCAGCACATGGCAGCCAAATTGTCAGACTTTTTAAAGGTTCCCCCCCTTAATATAAAAGATGTACTTATGGGGGGGGGGTGATTGCAGTAGAAAATAATCCTACCACCAGAATTCTATACATTTACTGCCATTTGAAGCCAGAAGCAGTGTGGTGAAGACTAAAAGTGACCTGACAACATTGAGGCTGGTGGGGCGGGGAAGGGAGCGTGTTCTAAGTTTCTCAGTATTTGCCCTGACTTGTTGAATTTTTGCTCTTGTGCCCTCTCATGTGGCTAGGATTGGGTAGTTTTTCATGAGCTCTCTAGCTCTCCTTCAGAACCCCCTCATCCATCTGACCAACAGTAGCTTCATTCTTTTATACTCCATCTTCTATGCCTTTACCATCAACAGCCCCTGCCCTGTCCTGAAGTCAGCTGTTAACCCCCTCCCATCCATTCCATGTTTTGCTCCATTAATCTTTGAAGGATCATAATTAGAAATCTGAGCCTCTTTGTTTTGCTATCCAGGGAATGCCCATAGTACCTACTTGCCAGGCTAGCTGTGACAACTAGAGATAATGAATACAATACACTTAGCAGGCACTGCCTCACTACACTAGGGTGTAATTGTATTGCTACTCTGCTTCAGGACCTTGCTGGTGCCCCATACGTAGGATAATCAAGTGGGCATGCTTACTTAATCTAGTTTCACAATTCAGATTGGGACAGGCTGGCTACTGACATTCACTGCACTCCAGGATCTGTCTCTAATATGCAGGGACAGCCTGGTGCCATTGAGCACACTTTTGGCTCCAGGCAAGGACGCTACTTGCTGTTTCCCTGCTCCTCTCTGCCCTCCAGCTCACCTTTCAAAATGTGTACAGGTCATACTAGGGATCCAGAGGCACCAATTAGTCATTAGCCCTTACCCAGAGTGCCCCAGTTATCCCACTGCTTCAGACTTACAGGAGAGGTTCCATTTCCAGACATTTCAGCATTACGTAGTGGATAAACACTGAAGTCCCCAGGTATTGCTAAACCCAAGGGTCACCATGGAGACGTTGGCCAGTGCCTGACAGCCTTGCCTTTCTTTCCTTGAGTGGCCGGGACCTGACTAACTGAGGGACTTGAGGGCGGCTAAGTGGGTAAGCTCACTGAAGACTGCTTCCATCTAGAAAGCCAGGCTCCTTCATGTCCGGACACGAAAGTGCTTCAGGCCCCTCTGCCTCCAGACCCTCTGTTGGAGGAGGGGCTTCGCTAGGCCAGAGTTGTGCGGGTCTTCGATCCAGCTCCCTGAGGGCACGCGCTGTGGGATGGGACTGCGACCTGGCTCCTTTCCGCCTTCGGGGTTTTTACAGGCTTTGGTCCCTCAGCCCGGGGGACTGGGGAGGCTCTGGCTCAGGCGCCCTCTCCGGGTCGGGGTCGCGTGCACCCTCCCCAGCCTGCTACCCGCAGGGGCACTCTCCCCTGTCCCCGCCCCTGGCGTGGGCCCGCCCTCGCGCCTGTGTCACGGCGGGCCGGGGGCGGAGAGCGGCCGGGCGGGACATCCGGCCCTGGTCCCTTGCTGCGCCCGCCCGCCGCCTGCTCCGGTGCCTCAGCCGGGGAGCCGGCACCCTGGTGGGCCGGGGCCGCCCGCCAGCTCTTCCCTTTCCCGGCCTTCGGGTCTCTGGGGCCCAAACCTTCCTCTTGCCCCCAACCCGAGCTCGCCTCCCCGGCAGCGCTCGGATGGGCCCAGCCTTCGCAGGCCCCCACACCGGGAGCACCATGTTCCCCCGCCCACTGACCCCGCTGGCGGCCCCAAATGGCGCCGAGCCCCTGGGCCGGGCGCTGAGGCGGGCCCCCTTGGGCAGAGCCCGGACCGGGTTGGGGGGACCGCCCCTGCTGCTGCCGTCCATGCTGATGTTTGGCGTGATCGTGGCCTCCAGTGGGCTGCTGCTCATGATCGAGCGGGGTATCTTGGTGGAGATGAAGCCCCTTCCCCTGCACCCTCCCAGCCGCGAGGGCGCGGCCTGGCGCGGGACAGTCCCAAAGTCTGGAGGGCTGTCCCTGGATTCTGGGGACTCGGACTTGCAAGTTCGGCAGGACGTCCGGAACCGGACCTTACGGGCAGTGTGTGGACAACCTGGCATGCCCCGGGACCCCTGGGACTTGCCGGTGGGGCAGCGGCGCACCCTGCTGCGTCACATTCTCGTAAGTGACCGCTACCGGTTCCTTTACTGCTACGTCCCTAAAGTGGCCTGCTCTAACTGGAAGCGGGTGCTGAAAGTGCTGGCAGGTGTCCTGGACAGCGTGGATGTCCGCCTCAAGATGGACCACCACAGTGACCTGGTGTTCCTGGCAGATTTGCGACCTGAGGAGATTCGATACCGCCTTCAGCACTATTTCAAGTTCCTATTTGTGCGGGACCCCTTGGAACGCCTCCTCTCTGCATACCGCAACAAGTTTGGCGAGATCCGAGAGTACCAGCAACGCTATGGAGCCGAGATCGTGAAGCGGTACAGGGCTGGAGCTGGACCCAGCCCAGCAGGTGATGATGTCACCTTCCCGGAGTTCCTGAGATACCTGGTGGATGAGGATCCTGAGCGTATGAATGAGCATTGGATGCCTGTGTACCACCTATGCCAACCTTGTGCAGTGCGCTACGACTTTGTGGGCTCCTATGAGAGGCTGGAGGCCGATGCCAACCAGGTGCTGGAGAGGGTCCGGGCCCCACCCCATGTCCGATTCCCAGCTCGCCAGGCCTGGTACCGGCCTGCCAGCCCTGAAAGCCTGCACTATCACCTGTGCAGTGCCCCATGGTCCCTGCTGCAGGACGTGCTACCTAAGTATATCTTGGATTTCTCTCTCTTTGCCTACCCACTGCCTAATGTCACCAGGGAAGCTTGTCACCAATGACATTGGATGCAGGGCCAGCAGCTTCTGGGGGCTGGTATTGACAATTCCAGCTTCTTGTGCTTCTGCTTGCCTTTCAGAAAAACCTTGACTCTGGGGCTTGGGGCTTCTCTAGATATGTGGACGTCAGGGGCTGCTCTCAGGAGTTCTTTGCCTAGAGTGGGTGCCTAGAGTGGCTCAGAAGGCAGATTTTGACAGGAAGCCTGCTGCTTCCCAGCGGGGGAACTCTTGGAGGCCAGAATGATCCTTACTCTGGCAGAGCCAGACACCAGTTTCCTCATGAAGAAATACATCTGATCTAAATACCGGCCCCAGGCCTCCAGGAATTGTACAGTTCCTGGTCCACCTTAATTTTACCTGTGGCCAACCCCAGATATGACACCAGCAAGGAGCATGATCACAGCCAGAGTCCCTGTGGCTCTGACCCCACACTTGTCCATCCCATGTGCCTCAGGACTAAAGAGAGGACTTGTGCCTTATAAATGGCTTTTGTGCCTTTTTGCTCCAAACCCAGAAGTTCCTACACCTGCTAGATTTCTTTTCATTTTTCCACAGAAAGGAAAACTGAAGCAGAGCCTTGCCTCCTAGTTCCAAAACCAGGCCCTGGAGGCATCCAAAGACCCCTGTGATAAGCCTCTTCCAAGGGCCCTGGGAACCTCCTCTGTAATCCTCCCCTCCCTGCAAGGCTTTTGGAGTTGTGACTGTGGCTAGTATGTCTGGCTGCCACATTTCTAGTGAATTTATTTAAAATTTGTACTTTTTGATAGAATTTTTGTAAGTACCCCCATAGCTGAATTTTAATAAAGCTGTTTTGTATACAAAGTGAGCCTCTCTGCAATTCCCCCTCTGAGCTCCTATGAATCCAGTAGATCTCCTAGA